GCGCCACTCAAGAACAGTGTTTTACACAGATCATAATTTTCTTAAGGCCTTTGTCTGGCTAGAATGAGGTCGCCTCTTAGAGGCCAAGAGAAGTCCGAGGTTCATGAAAGGCTGGGTCCACAAATGCGAGAGCTGCGCGCTGAAGGGCGTCCTGCGGCCCAAAGCAGATGGCACCGGACCGCGACTGGACTGTTGATCCACACATCCAAACCCGGGAGCGGGAGAAGCTTGTTCAAGTGAATGCGGCACGCTCGCCCCAGGCTTGGACAGGCAGCCAGCTGTCTATTTCACCTGACGTTCCTCTGAAACTCGGGGCAGAGGAGGCATTGGCGAGTTATCTTTCTCCCCTGCCTCCCACCATTATCTTCCTATTGCCCTCAAGGCTTCAGTGGCATTTTGCACGTGCACGGATAGCGCGGGTGGACACCACGTTCGTTCTTGAAACTGTCGTAGAGACTTTCCTGCCTGCTTTCTGGGTAATTTGTCAGCCTGGGGAAATGATGCTGCCTTCCAAACCTGCGTTCAGTGCCGCAGGGCGAGGGCGCTTGCCTTCCAAGACCCACTTTGGGGCCACTCCTTTGTCAATTGGCGACTGTATCGCGTCCAGAGGCGGCGCGGAGACTCTGGCTCAGAGGCTTGGGAACGGGGACCGGGCCTGGGTGGACACTCCCTTCCTGCTCCGGGGAATGGGGGGGGCGGGGGTAACTTCTGCTTCCGGAGAGACTTCTGAAAGAAGGGAGGCACGAGCTTCGGAGATAGGGAAGGAGTGGCTGAAGTGTAGAACCGGGGTTCGTTCTGGAAACCAATCTGGAAAGCCGGGAACCACCCCACCCTTCCGCGACCTGTTGCGCTCGTCTATGTCCAGGCTCCGGCTCCGGGCCTGGTCTAGTTTGGCTGCGAGTGGGCGCCATGGGCTTCAGCCATGGCCGCTGTCCCGGCCTTCCCTGGTAGGAAATCAGGGATACCAAGTTCAAGGAACTTGGACTCCCGAGGTCTTTGGATCCAAAGTGGCCCCGCAGCCCTAATGACCCAGCTGCCGGGAGACTGAGGGTGCCCTCTCACCCACCTCTGAGTCTCCCGGGTCCTCTGACCGCCACCCGCTGGAGAGGGTATGAGTTAATCTGGCTACAGAAGAAGAGCTCTCCCGCAGGGGAAGGCCGGGGAGTAGAGATCCTGGAGCTTGAGGCCCCCAACCCCGCCCACACACACCCTCGTGGCCTCCATTTGTACATTTTTATAGCAAGTGGTGGTCGGTTTATGGATGCGCATACTGGACTGGCTTCCATGGGTACTTCCAGATCCAGTTCAACCCGCAGTACCTCCGTTCCACGATGCCCCTGGCCCTGCCGCTCACGGTTGCTGGACGCGCAACCCGGGAGAACGAGTCTGCAGCCCACGCACCTTCCCTGATCTGCAAGATTTGGGGAAGGAGAACATCCAGCCGGAGCGCGCCGGGTCAGCGCCGCGAGGGTTTGGAGACACAGCCCTCGGCTCAGATACAAATGAGACTCAGTGCCGGATGTTCCTGGGTTCCTTTCAGTGGCGAGTTGAGTCTGCATTTGCCCTCTTAAAATACACCTTGGGTACCTCCCTCTTCCAACTACCGCTGACCCTAGAAAGTGCCCTATCGGCTCCACTCAACTTTTTAAAGACGGAAAACTAAAAAAAAAAAAAAAAAAAA